GTGCAGCGAGACACCAGCGCGCTCACGGCTGGAAAGGTGATGCTGGACACAGCAGCCACAGCACCAGCCCCCCACATCATCCTATCATCAACAAACACAGAGTTACTCACACCATTCACAGCACTGCTCACTTCCCATTACAATCAATGGCAGATTCTCACCACGGTTCAGACCCGAAGCCGTACCAAGCCAGCTGGAACAACTGAAACCCCAGTCCCAGCAGCACTGTGCTTTTATTCCCAATCTTCTTCATCAGAACGCTTAACAGTACCGTCTGCATGAACAAATAATCATGAAGCATGCAAAACCAACTGTATTTGTGCACAAAAGCAGTCTTAAGTCGCTGGGGTATATTTGTAGCAATAGCCAACAATACATTGTATGGGTCAAAATTATCCATTTCTCTTTTATGCCAAAAATCATTAGGATATTAAGTAAAGATCGTGTTCCATAAAGATATTTGGTAAATGTCCTACCGTAAATATATCAAAACTTAATTTTTGATCAGTAATATGCATTGCTAAGAGCTTCATTTGAACAACTTTAAAGATGATTTTCTAAATATTCAGATTTTTTTGCAAGCTCAGATTCCAGATTTTCAAATAGTTGTAGATTTTTTTGCACCCTCAGATTCCAGATTTTCAAATAGTTGTATCTCAGCCAAATATTGTCCTATCCTAACAAACCATACAGCAATGGAAAGCTTATTATTCAGCTTTCAGATGATGCATTAATCTCAATTTCACAAAATGTACCCTTATGACTGGTTTTGTGCTCCTGGGTCACATATGTGACTTGTGCTGGGAAAAATGAGCCACAATGAGCACATTTTCAAAGATTTGTTATTTTATTTTTACATTCGAAACGATGTATGATTTGTTGGAATAGGATGAAAAATGACTGAGCTACATCTGTTTGAAGTCGATGGAGTCAATTTAGAGAAAAACTGATTTTCTGAAGGTTTCAAAGCTTTTCTCTTCCTTCTCCGCCACTATAATCATTACTGGATTAATAATCAAAATACAGCTATTTTTTATTGTATCTTTGTTGTTATAAACAAGAAACGATGCAAAACATAAATATAAGAAAGAAACAAGTGTATTAACTACTTTTTCATTTTACATCTAAATATAAGCATTCAAGAAAAACACTGCAAAAACACTGTCTTGTGTTCTAGTATAAATATCTAAACATTCTTGAATCAAGATGCATTTACTGTACGAGTGAAATGAGTTAAGATATTAAGTCTTGTTTTCTAAAAAAAAAAGTATCAACATTTTGTGTGTTTTTGCTTAAAACAAACAAAAATATCTGCTAATGGGGTAAGAAAAATAATCTTAATTCAAGATTATTTTTCTTGCCCCATTAGCAGATATTTTTGTTTGTTTTAAGCAAAAACTAACACATTTTTTATATATTTTTTTTAGAAAACAAGACATAATATCAAATCATTTCACTCGTACAGTAAATGCATCTTGATTCAACAATGTTTAGATATTTATACTAGAACACAAGACAAAAATACTAAGAGAATAATTTTTTGCAGTGAACAAATAGTAAAATGTAAAAATCACTTTAGTGTGTTCATTACAAATAAACTGATTATTAAAACTACAAAAGCAGTTAAATCAAGCAGCGAGTGATTCCCTCTTTTCTTTTATTATTTGATTAATATTAATGCGACAGACGGCTTATATATTAAGACATAGTGTGATGCACAGATCTAATATAATGTTACACATCAGATGTTTTTCCCCAAACATTCACTTCAGACAGAACAGATTATGTTTGCATGAATACTTCAATATATTTAGCCTGCTGTAAATCGGTGTATACAGGTGCATCTAAAAAATTAGAATATTGTGAAAAAGTTATAGTAACTTATTTCAAAAAGTGAAACTTTCATATTTTCTAGATACGTTACGTGTAAAGTAAACCATTTCAAAAAATTTTTTGTTTTGTTTTAATTTTGATGATTAGAGCTTACAACTCATAAAAAAGTCAAAAATGTAGTATCCAGTATCTCAAAATATTAGAATATTTACATTTGAGTGTCATTAAATGACCATCCCTACAGTATAAATTCCAAGTATCTCTTGTTCTTTGAAACCACAATAATGGGGAAGACTGCTGACTTGGCAATGCTCCAGAAGACGATCATTGACACCCTCCACAAAGATAGTGAGTCACAGAAGCTCATTACTACACAGAGTGCTGTATCAAAGCATATTAAACGCAAAGTTGACTGGAAGGAAGAAATTGGGTAGGAAAAGGTGCACAAGCAACAGGGATGACCGCAAGCTTGAGAATACTGTCTCTAATATTTTGAGATGCTGGATTTTTGACTTTCATGAGCTGTAAGCTCTAATCATCAAAGTTTTAAAAAGAAAAAAAAAACATTACATGTAATGAATCTAAAATACATGTAAGTTTCACTTTTTGAAATAAGTTACAGAAACTTTTTCACAATATTCAAATTTTTTGAGATGCACCCGTGTGTGTGTTTTGGGATAGAGCGCTTTATGTGTGCACTTCGAACGCGAGAAGCAAGAGTACTCCTCTCAGAAAACGTACAAATAAAGATACTTTTAGATGTTTAATTACTATTTGGAGCATTGGGATCGCTAGACGAGGGCTTAATGAACTCATTTTTTTGGAAATTTAAAATTTGACAAAAATTTACATTTTTCGCTTTTTTGAGTGTAGCTCAAAATTATCCTGTGCGCATTCACACTCATTTTGCCAGCACAGGTCACATATCATCTCATAAACGAGTGTCTGGAGCTGAAGGTCTGTACCTGTGCTATGATGGACAGGATTCCCACCATCGCAATAAACGCTGCAATCGCTTCTGAGGAGAAGTTAATGACCTGAAACATAACGCACAGTTTTTAACGTCCGCGCTCCAGTCAAGGCACGTTCATCTCTATATTTGCTTTATACAATGCAGATTGTGTCAAAGCAGCTTCAAAGGAAAATAACAGTGTTAATGTTGCAAAATTCATCAATTATGAAAAGAATTCAATTTTAGCTGCTCTACAGAAGACAATAGAGTCATTAATCCGATCAATTCAGTCCAAGGTAGGTCATGCACTGCAAGTGCAAATATCTAAAAATTCAGAAATCAAGATTCATATGCTTGAGACGCATATACAATGCTGTGTCAAAGCAGCTTCAAAGGAAAATAACAGTGTTAATGTTGCAAAATTCATCAATTATGAAAAGAATTCAATTTTAGCTGCTCTACAGAAGACAATAGAGTCATTAATCCGATCAATTCAGTCCAAGGTAGGTCATGCACTGCAAGTGCAAATATCTAAAAATTCAGAAATCAAGATTCATATGCTTGAGACGCAAAATAATTTATGATATTAAGTCTTGTTTTCTGAATAAAATCAAAGGTAAGTGAGTTTATGGTTTTTAAATTAGTTTTTATTTTCATATCATCAATTATACGATCAATACAGATTATCGATTATACGAGTTTGTGAGCAAAAAAATATTATTAGATATTTTTTCTTGTTTTAAGCATAGATTCACTTCATTTTGATGCATTTTTTTTAGACAACAAGACTTAATATAGTTATATTTTATATATAGTTTATACTTAATATAAAGTCATTTTGCATCTCCACTAATTGCGTCTTGATTTTAGGATGTTTAGATATTTGTACTGGAAAACAAGACAAAAATACTGAGGAGGAACATCATTTTTGCAAGTCCAAGTCAACTTGAAGTCACATTTCACGCTACATTGATTTCTTGTTTAATTTCCTTGTTTTACTCGGACATTTGGAGGGAGTGAATGGGTTGTGAGCAGCGTTTCGAAACACGTACCTGTCCCAGATAGAGAAAGAAGCTGGAATACTGTCCGGCCTCGGGGAGATACGACAGGAACACTGTGACACAGATCAGCAGCACTGTGGAGTCTTTACCCACCTTCCTCAGAGACTAACACACACACACACACACGCAACACCGAGACACACACAGACACAGACACACACAGAGACACACACACACACACACACACACA